GCCATCTTCAAAGTGTTGGTTCTTTCTGTGCAGGAGCAGGGAATATTTTTCCATTTTCTGAAATCCTCTACAATCTCTTTTTTAGAGTACTGTAATTATCTTTGAAAGATCTGTGACTTCTTTAGTTAGATTAATTCCAAGGTATTTAATTTTCTGTAGTGGTATTGTAAAAGGTATTCTTTCTCTAATTTCCGTCTCAGTGTGTTTGTTATCTGTGTAGAAGAATGCAATTGACTTTTGGTTATTGACTTTTTATCCTGCTATGCTACTGAATTTGTGTATCAATTCTAGTAGCTTTTCAGTAGTTTTTTTGGGTCTTCCAAGTAAAGTATGATGTCATCTACAAATAATGATAATTTAACTTCTTTACCTATTATTATTCCTTTTATTTCTCTCTCTTTGTATTTTTGGTCTTAACACTAGTAAAATTTAGCTCTGTTATCTTTGTATATTTTACCATCTATTTAGAATCTAGATTTCTATTTTGTTTGCTCCTTCAATAGGCCCTAGATTAGATCTGGCCTCCACACTGTTAACTTATTCTGCAAATCTGGCTTCATGGTATAACCTGACAGCACATTCTGGTACCCAAATAGACTATTCCACATTGTCTGGAGAAACACAACCATACCCTCTCCCCCATGTTAATAGTGGACTGCATCCTTTCCATTGTCCAGTATGGAGATCTCTCCAAAGGACTCTTCCTGCCTTTTTGCACGTACCTGATGGAATTGTCTGTCTGCTGCTACACTTCCATCTTTTGTAGAACTTAAAAAGTTAATAGTGTTTTATACATGGAGAACATCAATTAACAATTCCCTTGGTCTGTGCTCAAGTCAAATGAGACTGTTTGCAAAAGGCAGAAGCATTTTAATAAAAAGTGGCATGAGACACAGAAGCTTGTTGAATACCATCTGAAGTAGTAATAGTTTTATGTGGAGTATGTGGCATGTGTAGCCATTGTAAGGGACCCTGAGACTGCCAACAAACCCCAGTGAGCATATAATGAGTTGGGAAAATAATTAAAATGTTGTCAAAGATAGGTCAACTCTAGAGAACTGAACATTAGAAAGAACCTCATTAACTTTGTCTAAGGTGGTCTTAGCCTTTGGTGTATGTGTTTTTTTAGAAGTAGTGGCTGAGTCTTGCTTGAAAATGTCAAAGAGAGGATGTAACTCATAAATAGCTTAAGAGTGGGCAGAGACAATAATGTTACCAAGTAGAGTCTGGTACTCGTTTAGGGTTGCAAGATGTCTAACCTGGATCTGAACAGTTTGGGGCTTAATTTGCCTCTGTTGAATCTGGTGTCCCAAATATTAAAAGAGTGATATAGTTTGCACCTTTTCAGAGGCTATCATTAGACCTGTATTGTGGTGGGCATCATCTAATTGGATAAACATGTGATGTAAAATAGATGGGGATCCATATGCCAAGAGAAGGTCATCTATGTAATAGATAATGTACACAGATGGATAGACATGTCACACTGACTGAATGGCTGTGGCCACAAACTCTTGACACGGGGTTGGACTAGTCACCATACCTTATGGTAGACAACACCACTGAAAACAGTGCAGAGGGGTCTGATTATTAATACAGGGTAAACTAAAAGCAAAATGTTTTTTATCTTCAGGGTGAAGAGGGATAGAATAGAAATGGTCTTGTAAATCAATCGCAGTAATGGAAAAATGTAAAAGAATAGCTACAGGACTGAGCAATCCCTGTTGCAGTGTTCCCATAGATTCTGTGGTGCAATTGACTGCCTGCAAGTCCTATAGCCGTCTCCACTTTCCTGGTTATTGGGTTTTGGTTTTTTTTTTTATGTATTTAGTACAAATCTACAGGGTCTCACTACATAGATCAGACTTGTAGTTATTCTCCTGTTCTCAGCCTCTCAAGTGCTGAGATTACAGTTGCACACCCCCATGGCCCAGTCTTAATTGCAATCTCAGCATGTCCTGGGGGCAGGGCCATCAAGACTCGCCTGGGATTCTGACTGCTGCGCTCTGCCTAAGCAGGCGCTCTGGTCCCCTGAGCTATCTGACTGGCCAGTGATTATTTTTTATTACAAAAATTGGGGGATTCTAAGGGCTCTTGGAATGTTCTAGGTGCCCCACCATCTCATCAGCTGATCATTCACCAGTGTATGAGTTGCTACAATCTTCTCCTGAGTTAAGGGCCATTTATCAAACTAAACAGGGTCATCAGACATCCAACGCATCTTGGATGCCATCCATGGGGTGGAACAAGAGATCAAGGCCTCTCCTGAAAATAGCCTATGCCAAAGCATTCCCTTTTAGGAAGAACTAGAAGAGGTTTGTTTTTTGTTTGTTTATGTTTGTTTTGTATTTAGGATAGGGTGTACTGGGTGTACAGGGTCTCACTGCATAGATTGGACTCATAGTTATCCACCTGTTTACAGCCTCCCGAGTAATGGGATTACAGGCATGTGCCACCACGCCCAGTCTCAATTAATGTCTCAGCATGACCCAGGGGAGGGGCCGGCATGGCAGGCCTGGGGATCAAACTCCTGGCCCCTGCATCTGCCTAAGCAGGTGCTTTAATCTGTTTCGTTATTTGGCCAGCCTTCGAGCTTTGTTTTGGTTTTTGTTTTGTTTTGTTTTGTTTTGTTTTGTTTTGTTTTTTTCAGAATTTTTACTAAGCCCTTGATTGGGAAGGGAACCTTGTTGTAACATCTGATGAGCCACCAGGGAGTTAGGACTGGCCAAAAATGCTCCCATGCCCTGTAAGATGCCACGACCTGATAGACTGGCAGTATAAGGGGGAGGACATAATGAGAAAAATATCTAGAATGGCCTTCTACATCCCTCCAAATTAGCAGCTTAGCATTTCTGCTAGGGTAAGAAACCTTGCGTACCCCTTGTCAATCTGTAGTGGCCACATCCAGAGGCCACACCCAGGCCAGTGATGCTGAGCAATAACTGAAATATCTGCACCTGGGTCTAATAGCCCTTTAAATGCTTTTCCTTCAACAGCCAACTTCATCTCTGGACAATTTTGTTTAATCTGCTGAGCCCAATAAGTATTAGGAGACCCAAAACCCTTAAATTTTTTTACATAAATTTTCCAATCTGTTTTCCAAAACAAAAATGACCAAGTGAGCAATGGGAGTACCTGGAGTGATTTTAGCAATGGTTTGAGTAATTGAATAATAACTGTTATTATACCAGAGAAATCTAGTATTATCAGCATTCATTACACCCTGCAAAACCTTTTGAAATGAGACTGCTGAGGCCTAGCAAGATTCCCACTGCACCCTAGGGCATAGGTCTGTAGACTCCAGTTGGGGCCCCATGTCAGGAGTCAGTAGGAATCTGGAGGAGGAACTGAGATCCAAGCCTCCCCTATAGGTTGTGGCTCCCTAAAGGTCAAAGACACTTGTGGTGGGGGAGGAGAAAGCACCCCCACTGTTTGCTGGGGCCAAGCCAGCCTCATTGGAAGTTTCCCTGAATGAGTCGGCTGTCCTCCTCAGTTTTAGATCTGCAGCCACTTCCCCAGTGGTACCCTTGTCTACACCTAGTACGTGGACTGGAAGTTTTTATTGAAGAGATAGATAAAGGCTGTGTTGTGTTTGGTGCAGCAGAACAATTTTGGGCTAAATGTCATTTGTCCCCACAATGGCAACAAACACCCTTACTTTTCCCCCCTTTTTTAGACTGTAGATGAATAACCTGAGTAATAGCTGCTGCCAAGGCAGCCCCCTGTACACAGGAGGGGCTGATAGCCACACAAATCCAAATCATCTCAGGGAGTGTAACCCTCTGTTTATGGTCTCTTAAAGCATCTCTACACCATTTAATTGCATTTTTGAAGGCCAATTGTTGAACTATTAATTCACTAGCTTCCCTGTCACTGATAATTCTCTCACTAGCTTGTAACAAACCTGCAGAGAAATCTTGGAAAGGTTCATCAGGGCCTTGCCTAATAGAAACTAAGTTAAGGGCTATTTCACTTTTACAAGGGCGTTCCCTCCAGGCCCTAAATGTAGGTCTCTTAGTCTCTTATATAGTTGCAATGTAAAGGTCAATTGATAGCCTGTGCTAGCAAAAGCACCCTCCCCTATTAGCATAACTTTTGTATGATGAGGTTGTGCATTTTGAGCTGTATTTGGAGCTGCCTATTTCATGCAATATTAAAAAAAAAAGATTTCATTATTGACCAAAAGCTGTGTTTTAATGATACACAAAACAGTATAATGAAATAGCAGGAATTTCTTTTTGGCAAGTGCTTAGTTAAGACAAATAAATGGGGAAATAATAAGTAGCAGTATTGAAATTCAGGAGATGACAGTATGCAGCAATCTGGCAGAGTATGAAATACGGTGTTTTACAAGGAGACATTTAAGGTCCTACACTTGAGTCAAATACACAAGATGAATGGTACTTGATCAAAATGTGGTTTAGTACAGGAACTTTAAAC